GAGAGGGCACAGGCTGGGCTGAGGGACCCCCCTGCCCCCGAGTGCACAAATTTTTGTGCACCGGGCCTCTAGTTTGTTAATAAAATTATATAGGTTTCAGGTATACAGTTCTATAAAACATCATCTATATATTGTATTGTGTTTTCACCACCCCAAATCAAGTCTTCTTCCATCACGTTTTATGCCCCCTTTACTCTCTTCTGTCTCCAATCATCCCCCTTTCCCTCTCATAATTGTCACACTGTTGTCTGTGCCTATGAGTTTGTTTTTTCTTCGCTTAATCCCTTTACTCTTTTCACCCAGCATCGCAACTCCCCTCCCCTCTGACAGCTATCATTCTGATATCTGTCTCCGATTCTGTTTCTGTTTTGTTTGGTAGTTTATTTTGTTAATTAGATTCCACATACAAATGAAGTCATATGGTACTTGTCTTTCTCACACTGGCTTATTTCACTTGCCATAATACTCTCCGGGTCCATCCATGCTGTCAAAAAGGGTAAGATTTCCATTGCATAAAATGTACCACAGGTTGTTTTATGCACTCATCTAACGATGGGCACTTGGGCTGGTTCCAAATCTTGGCTATTGTAAATGATGCTTCAGTGAACCATAGGGGTGCATATATTTTTTCACGTTAGTGTTTCCGGTTTCTTCAAATACATTCCCAGAAGTGAAATTGCTGGGTATAAGAGTTCCATTTTTATTTTTTTGAGGTAACTCCATATTATTTTTACACAGTGGCTGCACCAGTCTGCATTACCACCAGCAGTGCACAAGGGTTCCCTTTTCTCCACATCCTCGCCAACACTTGTTGTTTGTTGATTGATGGTAGCCATTCTGGCAGGTGTGGGGTTTGGATTACTGCTTCACTTTCATTAGTTGTAATCTCTCTATGCAGATTTCTGATTATTCTGGATTCAGTTTTGGAAGATTGTATACTTCTAAGAATTTATCTATTTCATCCTGACTGTCCAATTTCTTGCATACAGTTGTTTGTAACATTTTCTTACAATCCTTTGTGTTGTAAGTTGTTACTTGTCCTTTCATTTCTGATTTTATTTATTTGGGTCCTCTTTTTTCTTGATGAGTCTAGTTAAAGGTTTGTCAATCTTGTTTGTCTTTTCAAAAAATGAGCTCTTGGTTTCATTAATCTTTTGTTTGTTCTTTTTTAAACTCTATTTTGTTCATGTCTGACTTGATCTTTATTATTTTTTCTTCTCACTTTGGGCTTTGTTGTTATTTTTCTATTCCTTTAAATATAAAATTAGGTTGTTAGAGATTTTTCTTGTTTCTTAAGGTAGGCCTGAAATACTATGAATATCTCTCTTAAGGCTGCTTCCATTATGTCCCATAGATTTTGGGTTGTGTTCTCATTTTCATTTGTTTCAAGATATCTTGATTTCTTCCCTGACTGGGAATCGAACCATGACCTCCTGATCACACATGTTAGTTTTCACTGGCCTGAAATACATATTTAAGGATTGAAGAAAGATAGAGTTGCATTTCACATTTTTTTTGTTTCTTCAGTTGGTGTGTGTGTGTGTGTGTGTGTTTCAAATACTCGAAATTCATTCTTGTTCTTGCAACCCTATGCTGAGCAACTTTTTAAAATCACATACTCTCTTTAATACTGAATATTAATACTTTAATATACTGTAGTCTTCTAAACTAGCTGCCCCTTGAATGTTCCCCTTTTTTCTGTAATATCTCCATGAGATGTTTCATTTTTGTTTCCTTTCAGTTGCCAACTCCTTTTTTTTTTCTTTTTCTTACACTCATTTCTTTTTATTTTCTTTGCCCAAATCAGTTTTGGCTTGTGGTCCCTACCCTTTTGAATTTCATAGGTCTACAAAATATAATGGTGAAATAAAGTAAAATTTTGAGACCGATATAAAGGAATTAACTTTTATATACATTTTATTTGTCTCATTTTGCTGTAGGCCATTAAAGAAAATCATCTTTGGCTAATGTGTATTCACACATAGAATTTGGGAACTACTCGCCTAGGCAGTTAGTACATGTCTCCATTTTATCCTCAGTTGTCCATCTCACACACCGTTTCACATTTAATATAATTCTGCTTTGCTTATCTTCCTGGTGATGTGACTTTTCAGTGTTTGCAAGATAAAATCAGAATTTTCTAGCCAACTTATTAGCACTTCATCTTGTAATTCAAATAAATCTTTCTAGCCTTACTGTCCATTTACTGGTTAGGAGATCTTCAACCTGTTTCAGTCAGAATTTATTTGCTATTCTATGAACCCATTCAGTATTTCCTTGTTTTGTTTTGTGTGTTTGCTTTGTTTTGTTTGTGCAGTTTTCTTTCCTTGGCATAATTACCACCTTAAAACAATTTTCTAAAAATAGTCCATTCATGCTTTTGATACCTAGATCATATGCCACCTTCCTGAAGCCTTTCCTAATGATACTGAGCTCTTGGCTCTTTATATGTTCATCACATAGTGATCCATATTATAGTCATTTTGTAGAATTTCTTCCCTTCTAAGCTGTCTCCATGAGGGCAAGGAGTAGTAGTTACGTACAGATATCCTGTAGCTGTACAGTGGAGTGAATTAAGCTATTGTATTGTACTACTTTTAGCTATGTTTAAATAAAGATCCATCTAGGCAAGAGTGATTTTGCTTTTCTATCATTATTAGTTTAGTTAACTGTGACTAACCATTGGCTTTGATATGTAGAAATGTTTGCAATTAAGATTTCCTTCTTTTTGTCTTACCTCAGATGAACAACGTTTTGAGACAGATGTCATATGGCGGGAAATTTGGTTCTCCACATCTTGATCAATCAGGATTTTCCGCATCAGTTCAGTCACATAATCATAGTTATAACCAGTCTTCAAGCTCCCAGTGGCGTCAAGATACACCATCATCACTGCGTAAAGCCAGGCAGAGTTCTCATCCCTACCTAGCAGACAGACACTATAGCCGTGAGCAGCATTACAGAGGACACAGAGATGATTACTTCTATGAAGACAGGAATCACGATGGCTGGAGCCATGACCACGATAACAGAAGAGACAGCAGTAGAGCTGGAAAGTGGCATTCATCTCGAAACTAACAAGTGTTCAAAGGACATTGTTTTTATAGGGTCATCCTAGGCCCTTTGGACTAAGTTGGTCTGGAAATGTTTTGTTAAAACTGTACAGAGCAGTTTTATAAGATCCCACATTTCTTTATAAATTTTTAAAACATGTAGCTATCTATAGTCTAATACAGAAATGAGAAGACTTGTGATTACTGTTTTTACATTAATAACCTTTCACCTCAGGGTTTCATGAAGAGGAAAGCGTTCAATGCGCAAAAGAAAGTTCAGCAATTTCTAATCGTTTTAGAAATTGAGGAAGGCACGTGTTATATGTATTGGTTGTATCATAAAGCAAATATTTTAATGATCTATTCTCTATTGTATTGCAAGAACCTGCTTATTAGTGAATCACATTTTGTGTATATAATAGAAAACATTCAAGTTGGTAGTCTAAAATACAGTAGTATTTTGTGAACAAATGAGAAAATGTAATTTCAATGATTCGTTTCACTAACATTTGAGAAAGATTATTGATAAAGTTTGAGAATAATCATATTGTTTAATTTCATAGAGAATGTAGGTGTATAAGGTCTGTGACATGCTCTTTGAGTTTTGCCCTAATTGGATATCAAGTGTAAATCTACACTTCCTATTTCATTCTAAAATATTAGAATTTTCTCATTAAATCATGTTTGACTGAATAACTGAAGTCACTCAGGAAGTTAAATATCTGTAAATGTATTTTCCTTTTAATTAAAAATTCAGTGTTAGCGTAAATTCTCCTTTTTAGGAAGAACAAAAATGCAAATGCAGAGTCAGATAAAATGATTTATGAAAGTATGCTTGTTTGGGAAAAGGTTCACAAAGCCTTTAAGTGCTGCCTCTATTACTCAAACTTTAAAAATTTACAATTTTTAAAGTGCCCAGGGTATGTGTGCAAGGACACGTTTTATTATAGGGATTGTACATGTTGTCTTTCTGTTTGAACATTTGAAAGAGTTAAATCTTACACACTTTCTGATTTTAAAATGTTTAAATCCTGTTAAAACTTTTATGTATCAAGATGTTTCCCTTTAATTGTAGAGCTTGTTTATACAAATTCACTCCTTGATATATTTGGATCCTTTTTAATAACTATAGCATTTTTATACTGTTACTTTTTAATATATTGAAAACATAAAAAGGAGTATGTGTCTTCTTTTTAAAAGTATTTTATTGATTTTTAGAGAAGATTGGAGAGAGAGAGGAACATCGATGAGAGAAGAACATGGATCGGTTGCTTCCTGCATGCTTCCTGACTGGGGCTTGGGCCCTCAACACAGGCATGTGTCCTGACCTGGAATCAAATTAGCAACCTTTCTGTGGACAGGACAATACCTAACCAACTGAGCCACACCTGCCAGGGCTCTTTTTTTTAAAATTTGTTTTTTAATGTCACTATAGAGGCATTATACTCAAAAAGTTAGCAACATACATTTTATTCAGTGATTGGTTGTAAAAATATCAGTTCATCTGGCTGGTGTGGCTCTGCTTGAGCGTGGACCCATGAATCAAGAGGTCACTGGTTCAATTCCCAGTCACGGCACATACTAGGGTGGTGGGCTTGATCCCCAAAAGGATCATGTAGGAGGCAGCTGATGGATGTTTCTATCTTTCTGTCCCTCTCCCTTGTTTTTGTCTCTTTATCCCTCTTCTTTCCTCTCTCTAAAATAAATTAAAAAACATGAAATTAAAGAGAAAAAAATAGCAATTTTTCAAGCATCTTAGAAATATACATTTTGTACATATTGAACTTAATATTTAGAGTAAGACTTCCAGTGACACGGGTTATTGTTCCAAGTACTAAACTCCCTGGTCTCTAGGAGTTTAGGTACATTCAAGTTTCCTCTTTCTAAATGCACACACTTTTCTGTCTAGGTAAACCATTCAGCATAGAGAATATTAAGATCAAGTTTTTCATCTCAAGCAGTTTAATAGGATTTGTTTCCAATAAACTTGTTCTTTTCAAGTGTCATGACAATTCAGTAGCATTTGTAGATACTAGCAAAGGTTAATACTGCTGGATTGCCACTTATCTGTGGGTCAGTTTCTTTCATATTGATTCATAGGTGATCCTGATTCAAAATAATCTTTTTCCAGTGCTTTTGGGGCACACCTGTGAGGGTCCAGATAATCTTTTTCACTTTAATCTCACCTCATTGAAAGTAAACTATGTACTGTGTTAAGGGATAGAACAAGACATTCCTGAAGAGTTGAGTCTAGTTGGTGGACAATTTATGTAAGTGTTGAGAGTGCAGGAGTAAGAAGGAGATTGCAGGAGAGCAGCTTCTCCAGAGTGTTCCATGAAATACTACTCTCACGTGATGTTCTATGAAATAAGGGTTCTATAATCAAATGTTTGGCAAACGTACTAATTCTTTCTGTTAGAGAATGATAAAGAACAGCACCATAAAGCTATTGACCGGTACTCCAGTAATCTGCTTATGGCATAAGCCTTATGCCCTAGACCAGTGGTCGGCAAACTGCGGCTCGCAAGCCCATTGGTGGCTCTTTGGCCCCTTTGGTCGCTACAAAATACCGACTTCTGCACATGGGCCACGAAGTTTCAATCGCACTGTATGTGCGCACCCGCACGTATTTTGTGGAAGAGCCACACTCAAGGGGCCAAAGAGCCGCATGTGGCTTGCAAGCTGCACTTTGCCAACCACTGCCCTAGCCTGTTTGGTTCAGTGGATAGAGTTGGCCCGTGGACTGAAGGGTCCCAGGTTTGAATCTGGTCAATGACATGTACTTCGGTTGCAGGCTCTATCCCTGGCCCTGGTTGGGGCTCATATGGGAATCAATTGTGTCTCTCACATTGATGTTTCTCTCTCTCTCCCCCTCCCTTCTGCTCTCTAAAAATCGATGGAAAAATATCCTTGGGTGAGGATTAACAAAAAAAAAAAATCTGCTTATACTTAACCTCATATTTTCCAAATTTGCTTGACCCTTATTTTATCTTTTTATACATAACTAGAGGCCTGATGCATGAAATTTGTGCAAGGGGCTTGGCCCTCACAGCCCCTTGCAGCCTCTGCCGGTCCTCACAGCCTTGGCTTTGTCAGGACAGTCGTCCGGAATGTATGGACAGTCGTTCTGCTGTTTGGTCTAATTAGCATATTAGCTCTTTATTATATAGGATGTATATTAAGGCACACACACACACACCACCCCCAAAGAATCTTTGACTCTACCCTTCTCCATCCAATCAACCGTAAACATTTTATACCACTTTCTAGTTATGTTGTACAGGCCCATGTTCCTTTTACCAACTGCCACCATCTTAGACTGGGCAATCATCACAACAGGGTTATTCCAACAGTACCCTAATGTTTCAGTATCAGTTTATGTATTTTCGTACTACTCTGTATTTCTCTTTAATAGCCTTTATACTGTATTTTCATTCTTTTTATTTGTGTATCTAAGCTCCATGAAAGCAGAGACCATATTTTATTCACTGCTGAATTTACAGTGTCCAGTGCGTGGCATGTACACTGAGTGGCCAGATTATTATGACCGGCCAGATTATTATGACCACCCCATCAATACTTCGTTGGGCCATCTTTTGCCTTCAATACTGTGGCCCAACGAAGTACTGATGGGGTGGTCATAATAATCTGGCCACTCAGTATATATATACTTGGCAAATTTTTTTCTTCTATTTTTTTTGTTTTGTTAATCCTTACCAGATGATATTTTTTTTTCCATTGAGTTTTAGAGAGTGGAAGAAAGGGAGAGGAGACGCAGAGAGGGAAAGAAACATCGATTGCTTGCCTCCCATATGGACCCCAAATGGGGCTCGGGATTGAACCTGAAACCCAGGTATGTGCCCTTGACCAGAAATCGAACCCGAGACCTTTAGGTCCATGGGCTGATGCTCTAACCACCGAGAAACACTGACCAGGCAAATTTTTTATTTTAGTCCTCACACGAGGATATGTTTTTCTTGTTTTTAGGGAGAGAGGAAAGGGGAGAGAGAGAGAAACATCCCTGTGAGAAAGAAACATCGATCAGTTGCCTCCTGTACACACCCCAACTGGGGATGGAACCTGAACCTAGATATGTACCCTGACTGGGAAACCTGCAACCTTTTGGTGTATGGGATGCCACTCCAACCAACTGAGCCACCCAGACAGGGCTACTTTGTAAATATTTGATGAATAGATGAAGGAACATTTATCAAATTATTGAATTTAAAAAGAAGGCTTCAACATAGAAAACTTTCTTAAAATAGATTTGCTAACCTTGAACCATTATTGCATTTTATTATTAAAACTATGTATCTCAATATATTGTGCATTTAATTCACTCTAAAATTCTATTTGGTTTTCAAGTTTTTAAGAAGTTTTTTATCTGTATTCATTAGGCTTTTTTTAAAAAATGTTTATTTTAATTTGTTTCTGGAATTACAGTTCTGCTAGCTTTGTAGAGCAAGTTGATAAGCTTATCTTTTTCAGTGCCTTGGGAAAAATTTGAATAATATAGGAATTCTCTGTTTCTAGAAGACTTGAATTCATTTATATACCTACTAGAGGCCCGGTGCACAAATTCGTGCACCAATGGGATCCCTGCGGGATCAGACCGAAACTGGCTCTCTGACACCCCCCTGAGGGGTTCTGGATTGTGAGAGGGCACAGGCCAGGCCAAGGGACCCCACCAGTGCACGATCAGGTTTGGGGAGGGACACGGGAGGTTGGCCAGCCAGGGAGGGACCAGGGGAGGGCTCCAGGGTGTGTCTTGCCCGTCTTGCTCAGTCCCGATCAGCCGGACCCCAGCAGCAAGCTCACCTACTAGTCAGAGCGTCTTCCCCCTGGTGGTCAGTGCACGTCATAGTGAGCGGTTGAGCGTCCTTAGCATATCATTAGCATATTATGCTTTGATTGGTTGAACGGACAACCAGACACTTAGCATATTAGGCTTTTATTACATAGGATTGGGGTCTTAGAAGTAACTCTTTTATTCCCTTCTCAATTTCCTTTACAGCTATTCTATTCATGTTTTCTACTCTCTCAGAAGTCAGTGTGGATACATTACATCCTTCAAAAAAATCAAACATTTTTTGTATCTTTCCACATTAATTGTGTTGTATGTAGTATTTCTTATAATTTTTGTAAGACTATCTCTAATGATAGTTCAGTTGTAGTTTCTGATGTATTTCACCTTCCATCCTGCACCCAGATTTGTTAGTGGCTGTGCTGTTTATACATTTTACATTTACATATGTATAAGCCCCACACTGCATTGGTGTTAAAAACAGATTTTCTTTTAAGGAGATTTAAATAAGAGAAAACCATACATATTTCTCCAATAGTTGTCATTTCTGTAGCTCTTCTTTCCTTTGTGTAGATCCATTTATCCATCTGGTATTCTGCTAGAAGAACTTGATATTTTTTTTATAGTGCAGGCTTGCTGGTGATAAATTGTTTTAGCTTTTGTATGTCTGAAAAAGTCTTTTTCACCTTTTAAAAATACATACTTTTTGCTGGATGTAGAATTCTAAGTTGACAGATTTTTTTCTTTCAATACTATAAAAATGTGGCTCCAACCCTGGCCTATGTGGCTCAGTAGGTTGAGTGTCATCCTGTATACCGAAAGGTAATGGGTTTGATTCCCAGTCAGGGCATATGCCTAGGTTGTGGGTTTGATCCCCGGCCCCCATCAGGGCTCATGCAGGAATCAAACAAGTGATGTTTGTCACATCACTGTCTCTTTCTCTCTCTCCCTTCCTTCCACCCTTTCTAAAAAATTCAATGGGGAAAAAAACCTACTGTCATGTACATAATGTGTTATTTTTCTCCGGTTGATTTCGAGCAATTTGATTGTGATATGCCTTAGTGTTATTTTCTTCATGTCCTTTTGCTTGGGATTCATTAACCTGCATGGTTTATCGTTTTCATCAAATTTGGAAAAATCTGGCCATTATTTAAAACATTAAACTTTTTTTTTATTGATTTGAGAGATGAGAGAGAGAGAGAGGAGATGAAGGGAGAGAGAACAACACTAATTTTATTGTTCCACTTATTTATGTATTCATTGGTTGATTATTGTATGTGCCCTGATGAGGGATTGAACTCACAACTTTGGTGTATTGGGTTGATGCTCAACCAACTGAGCTACCTGGCCATGGCCAAAAGAATTTTTTTT